AGGTCGACGGGCACGCACGGGAGCGGCTGGTCGACGTGGCTGCCCGGTCGACCAGGTTACCTGGGTGACGAAGTGCTGCGGAGGAGTACGACGGTCGCCGAGGCGGAGTTTGCGAGCCCGACCTCGGTGGTGGTATCCCGAGGTCGTCGTGGCGGATCAGAGGCAGATGTCAGCTCAAGGTTGACGTGGTGTGTGCGCTGTGCAGATGACGGGATTCTGCACGCCAATTACCTGCGCGCACCTGCGAAGCGAGTGCGCTGCTGTTCTGCGTGAGCAATGCTGGCACGCCGTCAACCTGCGACGTTGGCACGCATTCGACCTTGTCTTGCTGATGTAGTCTTGTGATGCCAACTTCATTGTATAATTGTTGTGAACTTTTGCTAGTGAAACTCTTGCCAAATTCCCCTGTGAACCAGCAAGTAGTGCGAGCACAAGCAAATGACTAAGGAACGAACGAACGCAGAGATCACACGAGCACCCGTGCCTAGCCCGTAGTCTAGCTCCCGTTGAAGTAGTTATCTCCGCATGGTGCGGTGAGCGTGGACGGCACACGACTTACCTTTCAGTCAGGTCGACGTAGAGGCTACTTACCTAAGTCATTCGTAGGCCGGCAGCCGTGCAGTCTCTAGCTTGCGCGTAGGTGGCGCCAAGATGATGGAGACCCTGGAAGCACAGCTGGAGGACGCGAGGACGCGTCATGCAGCCCAGGAGTACGGGACGATACCGTGGGTGGTTGTGGAGGCCGGCATTCGCTCCATGTGGGCGACGTTGCACCCTTCTCAATCAGCATCTCCTCGACCGGTGAACGTAGAGGGCGGCGTCGACGCGGGCGTCAACGCCGGAGGTGGCCAAGTCGGCAGCAATGCGGGAGGCACGTCGAGGCAGAGAGGTGTGATTCACGCCGACGAAGTCGGCGGCGTTCAGGGGCGAGGGGTGCAGTCGTCGGCGGCTGCAGGCTCCTCGCGAGGCGACGTCGGAGGTCGACGAAGCGGTTTGTCGCCGACGTCGGCGACCCACGTGACGGCGGGCGGGATTGCACCGAGCTACGGCTACTTCAAATTCTCGCCGGACAGGATCTTGGTCACCCCGCCGCTCGTCGGTCGACAGGACATCCTCACCTGGAAGGAAGCTATCGAGCCCCAACTGGAGACGGCGGGGCTGATCAACTTCGCTCGAGGTTCCGTGGAGATGCCGGACGACCCCGACCTACGTGCGGAGTTTCGCGCCGTGCAGCTGTTGACCTTCATGGTCATCTCGCGGTGCTGCTCGCCGGGCGTGCAGATCGCCTTGAAGTGGTGTGGGGAGCATGTCGACGCCGGCCACCAGGCGTGGAACTTCATTGAGTCGACCTACCAGGTCACCGACGACCTGTTCATCTCCCAGCTGGAGGGGCAGCTGACGCACCTGCGCATGGGCGATGAGGAGACGGCGACCGACTACTGCAACCGAGCCCGGCGAATTCTCGCCACCATCTGGATGGCCGGCGCGCAATACTCCACGACGTCGTACGTCACCCACGTGATGCAGGGGTTGTCGAGCAACTACAACCTCCTGAAGAGGTTGTCGATGGCGCCGAGCACGAGGACGTCGCTCAACGAGAACAACTTGACCTCGTACATTCTGCAGGACGAGGCGATGCAGGAGGCCGAGCGGTCGCGAGAGCTCTTGGCGCAGGCCAACTTCGTCGCCCCGACGAAGCAAGGAGGTCGACCTGGTCAGCGCGGACAGTCCGGGGGCGGCGGCAGCGGTGGCTGGAAGTCGACTAAGGAGGTCGACTTGTCGACAAGAAGTCGACCAAGGACGGCGGTCGAGGAGGAGGAGGCCGACGTCGGGAGTGCTGGATCTGCCACAGCCCCGACCGCCTCTCCTTCGAGTGTCCCGACCGCAGCGACTCCGACGACGACGACGACAAGGGCGGCCGCGGGAGGTCGAGCAGTCGTCGTCCTCGTCGAGAAGGGAATCAGCCGCGCAAGGAGAAGTAGTCGACCAAGAAGTCGACCTCGGCGAAGGACGCCGACTCCTCTGCTGGCGGCAAGACGCAGGACGCCAAAACAGCGACGTGCTCGCTGGTCGACGTCGTGGAGCCGACCGTCTCGCTGGCGCCGGAGACCGGAGAGGATTTCCAGGCGGTGGCGGCGGCTGTGCAGGCAAACCCGGCGGTGGTCCTGCTCGACAGCGGCTGCTCCCACCACCTGATGGGGACGAAGGAGGTCTTCGTCGACCTGCAGCCGAGCGGCTCCATCAAGCACGTGCGCGGCTTCAATGGGGCGCTGCAGGACGTCCAGGGCCGAGGCACCGTCGCTCCGCAAGGGGAGACCGGGAAGCAGGTGCTCATCCTCGACGTGCTGTTCGTCCCGGGTTTGCGGGCCAACCTGCTGTCGGCCGGCCAGCTGAAGGAGCACGGCGTGAAGCTGCAGGAGGACGGAGACGGCATGCTGCTCGTCTCGGCGGCTGGGGAGGTGCTTGGTTGGGCGACGTACTCTGGGCGAGTCCTCTGCACCGACCTGCGTCCCTGCTCGACAACGTCGACGTCACCCACGCCGGAGGTTGTGGCTCTGCGGGCGATTGTCTCGAAGACGAAGTCGACGCCGGACCGGATGCACGCGAGGCTGGCGCACGTCGGCATGGACACCATCCGGAGCTCGGCGAAGCACGAGGTCGCCATTGGGCTGGACCTCAAGTCGGCGACGGGCGCCGACTCCCCGTGTGTCTCGTGCGTCGGCGGGAAGCTGGCGTGGCACACCTTCCCCGACCAAGGCTCCGACGCCGACGACGTGCTGGCCGTCGTGCACATCGACCTGTGCGGGCCGTTCCGCGTGGCTGCCAAGGATGGCAGCTTGTACTTCCTGCTGCTAAAGGACCGCAAGACCCGCTTCGTGTGGGTGAGGCCGGTCGCCAAGAAGTCGGACGTGCTGCTGGAGTTCCAGAAGTGGCTGGTGTTGGTGGAGAGGCAGACGAAGAAGTCGGTGCTGCAGTTGTGCTCGGACCGAGGAGGGGAGTTCCTCGGGAGGAACTTCACCGACTTCGTGGACGACAAGGGGATCGTCCACGACCTGACCTGCCCATACACCCCGCAGCAGAACGGCATGGCGGAGCGGGAGATGAGGACGGTGGTGGAGTCGGTGCGGACGATGCTGCTGCACATGGGCGTGCAGCACCACTGGTGGCACCTCGCTCTGCGGCAAGCCATCTGGGTCCGCAACTGCCTGGAACGGTCGACGCTGCCGTCGAGGACGACACCGTACCAGCTGCTGACCGGGCAGAAGCCCGACTTGTCGATGGCGCGGGTGTGGGGCTGCATGGCGCAGTTTCTTGTCTCCGAGCAGCAGCGTGGTGGGAAGCTGAAGCCGAAGGCCCGGTGGGGCCTTCACCTTGGTGTGTCAGCGGCGAGCAAGGGCTGGGAGCTCCTCGACGTCGACGCCAACCGGGTGGTCACCACGTCGGACGTGGTGTTCTACGAGGAGATGTCGCTGGCCGAGTGGAAGTTGGAGCATGGTGTCCGGCCGCCCGTCCATCCCGCCCTCTGACACCTCGTCGGCGACGCTGCCGCTGCTTGCCGAGGTCGGCGAACTTGCTGCTGAGGACATCGAGGACGGCCAACGCTAAACCCTAAACCCGACCCCTGCCCCTCCCCTCGCGGCCGACCTGCGTGGGCTGACCTCGGTGTCGGCCTCCGGCGATGAGGGGAGTAGTGGGACGTCGCCTTCGGCGCTGGCCAAGTGCATCGCCGGTGGCCGACATGACGAGAGGCTGGTGGACATGGGATTGACGCCGAGGTCGACAGGGGAGGAGCAGGTCGAGGTGCAGCAGCCAACAAGGGAGCAGGAAGCCGTGAAGCCGACTACGGGGCAGTCGGCGACCGGGCAGTCGGCAGGGGAGCCGACGACAGGGGAGAGGTCGACCAGGAAGTCGGGTGCCACGACCCCCACGAGGTGAGTGAGGGTACCGCTGCCACGACCTCCACGAGGTGAGTGAGGGTACCGCTGCCACGACCCCCACGAGGTGAGTGAGGGTACCGCTGCCACGACCCCCACGAGGTGAGTGAGGGTGCCGCTGCCATGACCCCCACGAGGTGAGTGAGGATACCGCTGCCACGACCCCCACGAGGTGAGTGAGGGTACCGCCACCACGACCCCCACGAGGTGAGTGAGGGTACCGCTGCCACGACCCCCACGAGGTGAGTGAGGGTACCGCTGCCACGACCCCCACGAGGTGAGTGAGGGTACCGCTGCCACGACCCCCACGAGGTGAGTGAGGGTACCGCTGCCACGACCCCCACGAGGTGAGTGAGGGTACCGCTGCCACGACCCCCACGAGGTGAGTGAGGGTACCGCTGCCACGACCCCCACGAGGTGAGTGAGGGTACCGCCGCCGCCACGACCCCCACGAGGTGAGTGAGGGTATTGCCGCCACGACCCCCACTAGGTGAGTGAGGGTACCGCTGCCACGACCCCCACGAGGTGAGTGAGGGTACCGCTGCCACGACCCCCACGAGGTGAGTGAGGGTGCCGCTGCCATGACCCCCACGAGGTGAGTGAGGGTACCGCTGCCACGACCCCCACGAGGTGAGTGAAGGTACCGCTGCCACGACCCCCACGAGGTGAGTGAGGGTGGGTGCCGCTGCAACGACCCCCACGAGGTGAGTGAGGGTACCGCTGCCACGACCTCCACGAGGTGAGTGAGGGTACCGCTGCCACGACCCCCACGAGGTGAGTCAGGGTACCGCTGCCACGACCCCCACGAGGTGAGTGAGGGTACCGCTGCCACGACCTCCACGAGGTGAGTGAGGGTACCGCTGCCACGACCCCCACGAGGTGAGTCAGGGTACCGCTGCCACGGCCCCCACGAGGTGAGTCAGGGTACCGCTGCCACGACCCCCAAGAGGTGAGTGAGGGTACCGCTGCCACGACCCCCACGAGGTGAGTGAGGGTACCGCTGCCACGACCCCCACGAGGTGAGTGAGGGTACCGCTGCCACGACCCCCACGAGGTGACTGAGGGTTACGCCGCCACGACCCCCACGAGGTGAGTGAGGGTACCGCTGCCACGACCCCCACGAGGTGAGTGAGGGTACCGCTGCCACGACCCCCACGAGGTGAGTGAGGGTACCGCTGCCACGACCCCCACGAGGTGAGTGAGGGTACCGCTGCCACGACCCCCACGAGGTGAGTGAGGGTACCGCTGCCACGACCCCCACGAGGTGAGTGAGGGTTCCGCCGCCGCCACGACCCCCACGAGGTGAGTGAGGGTATTGCCGCCACGACCCCCACGAGGTGAGTGAGGGTACCGCTGCCACGACCCCCACGAGGTGAGTGAGGGTACCGCTGCCACGACCCGCACGAGGTGAGTGAGGGTACCGCTGCCACGACCCCCACGAGGTGAGTGAGGGTACCGCTGCCACGACCCCCACGAGGTGAGTGAGGGTACTGCTGCCACGACCCGCACGAGGTGAGTGAGGGTACCGCTGCCACGACCCCCACGAGGTGAGTGAGGGTACCGCTGCCACGACCCCCACGAGGTGAGTGAGGGTACCGCTGCCACGACCCCCACGAGGTGAGTGAGGGTACCGCCGCCGCCACGACCCCCACGAGGTGAGTGAGGGTATTGCCGCCACGACCCCCATGAGGTGAGTGAGGGTACCGTTGCCGCCTCGGCCCCCACGAGGTGAGTGAGGATACCGCTGCCACGACCCCCACGAGGTGAGTGAGGGTACCGCTGCCACGACCCCCACGAGGTGAGTGAGGGTACCGCTGCCACGACCCCCACGAGGTGAGTGAGGGTACCGCCGCCGCCACGACCCCCACGAGGTGAGTGAGGGTACCGCTGCCACGACGCCCACGAGGTAAGTGAGGGTACCGCTGCCACGACCCCCACGAGGTGAGTGAGGGTACCGCTGCCACGACCCCCACGAGGTGAGTGAGGGTACCGCTGCCACGACCCCCACGAGGTGAGTGAGGGTACCGCTGCCACGACCCCCACGAGGTGAGTGAGGGTACCGCTGCCACGACCCCCACGAGGTGAGTGAGGGTACCGCTGCCATGACCCCCACGAGGTGAGTGAGGGTACCGCTGCCACGACCCCCACGAGGTGAGTGAGGGTACCGCTACCACGACCCCCACGCGGTGAGTGAGGGTACCGCTGCCACGACCCCCACGAGGTGAGTGAGGGTACCGCTGCCACGACCCCCACGAGGTGAGTGAGGGTACCGCTGCCACGACCCCCATGAGGTGAGTGAGGGTACCGTCGCCGCCTCGGCCCCCACGAGGTGAGTGAGGGTACCGCTGCCACGACCCCCACGAGGTGAGTGAGGGTACCGCTGCCACGACCCCCACGAGGTGAGTGAGGGTACCGCTGCCACGACCCCCACGAGGTGAGTGAGGGTACCGCTGCCACGACCCCCACGAGGTGAGTGAGGGTACCGCTGCCACGACCCCCATGAGGTGAGTGAGGGTACCGCCGCCGCCACGACCCCCACGAGGTGAGTGAGGGTATTGCCGGCACGACCCCCACGAGGTGAGTGAGGGTACCGCTGCCACGACCCCCACGAGGTGAGTGAGGGTACCGCTGCCACGACCCCCACGAGGTGAGTGAGGGTGCCGCTGCCATGACCCCCACGAGGTGAGTGAGGGTACCGCTGCCACGACCCCCACGAGGTGAGTGAGGGTACCGCTGCCACGACCCCCACGAGGTGAGTGAGGGTGGGTGCCGCTGCCACGACCCCCACGAGGTGAGTGAGGGTACCGCTGCCACGACCTCCACGAGGTGAGTGAGGGTACCGCTGCCACGACCCCCACGAGGTGAGTCAGGGTACCGCTGCCACGACCCCCATGAGGTGAGTGAGAGTACCGCTGCCACGACCTCCACGAGGTGAGTGAGGGTACCGCTGCCACGACCCCCACGAGGTGAGTCAGGGTACCGCTGCCACGGCCCCCACGAGGTGAGTGAGGGTACCGCTGCCACGACCCCCAAGAGATGAGTGAGGGTACCGCTGCCACGACCCCCACGAGGTGAGTGAGGGTACCGCTGCCACGACCCCCACGAGGTGAGTGAGGGTACCGCCGCCACGACCCCCAGGAGGTGAGTGAGGGTACCGCTGCCACGACCCCCACGAGGTGAGTGAGGATACCGCTGCCACGACCCCCACGAGGTGAGTGAGGGTACCGCCACCACGACCCCCACGAGGTGAGTGAGGGTACCGCTGCCACGACCCCCACGAGGTGAGTGAGGGTACCGCCGCCGCCACGACCCCCACGAGGTGAGTGAGGGTATTGCCGGCACGACCCCCACGAGGTGAGTGAGGGTACCGCTGCCACGACCCCCACGAGGTGAGTGAGGGTACCGCTGCCACGACCCCCACGAGGTGAGTGAGGGTGCCGCTGCCATGACCCCCACGAGGTGAGTGAGGGTACCGCTGCCACGACCCCCACGAGGTGAGTGAGGGTACCGCTGCCACGACCCCCACGAGGTGAGTGAGGGTACCGCTGCCACGACCCCCACGAGGTGAGTGAGGGTACCGCTGCCACGACCCCCACGAGGTGAGTGAGGGTACCGCTGCCACGACCCCCACGAGGTGAGTGAGGGTACCGCTGCCACGAGCCCCACGAGGTGAGTGAGGGTACCGCCGCCGCCACGACCCCCACGAGGTGAGTGAGGGTACCGCTGCCACGACACCCACGAGGTGAGTGAGGGTACCGCCGCCGCCACGACCCCCACGAGGTGAGTGAGGGTACCGCTGCCACGACCCCCACGAGGTGAGTGAGGGTACCGCTGCCACGACCCCCACGAGGTGAGTGAGGGTACCGCCGCCACGACCCCCACGAGGTGAGTGAGGGTACCGCTGCCACGACCCCCACGAGGTGAGTGAGGGTAGCGCCGCCACGACCCTCACGAGGTGAGTGAAGGTACCGCTGCCACGACCCCCACGAGGTGAGTGAGGGTACCGCCGCCGCCACGACCCCCACGAAGTGAGTGAGGGTATTGCCGCCACGACCCCCACGAGGTGAGTGAGGGTACAGCTGCCACGACCCCCACGAGGTGAGTGAGGGTACCGCTGCCACGACCCCCACGAGGTGAGTGAGGGTACCGCTGCCACGACCCCCACGATGTGAGTGAGGGTACCGCCGCCACGACCCCCACGAGGTGAGTGAGGGTACCGCTGCCACGACCCCCACGAGGTGAGTGAGGGTACCGCTGCCACGACCCCTACGGGGTGAGTGAGGGTACCGCCGCCGCCACGACCCCCACGAGGTGAGTGAGGGTATTGCCGCCACGACCCCCACAAGGTGAGTGAGGGTACCGCTGCCACGACCCCCACGAGGTGAGTGAGGGTACCGCTGCCACGACCCCCACGAGGTGAGTGAGGGTGCCGCTGCCATGACCCCCACGAGGTGAGTGAGGGTACCGCTGCCACGACCCCCACGAGGTGAGTGAGGGTACTGCTGCCACGACCCCCACGAGGTGAGTGAGGGTACCGCCGCCGCCACGACCCCCACGAGGTGAGTGAGGGTATTGCCGCCACGACCCCCACGAGGTGAGTGAGGGTACCGCTGCCACGACCCCCACGAGGTGAGTGAGGGTACCGCTGCCACGACCCCCACGAGGTGAGTGAGGGTGCCGCTGCCATGACCCCCACGAGGTGAGTGAGGGTACCGCTGCCACGACCCCCACGAGGTGAGTGAGGGTACCGCTGCCACGACCCCCACGAGGTGAGTGAGGGTGGGTGCCGCTGCCACGACCCCCACGAGGTGAGTGAGGGTACCGCTGCCACGACCTCCACGAGGTGAGTGAGGGTACCGCTGCCACGACCCCCACGAGGTGAGTCAGGGTACTGCTGCCACGACCTCCACGAGGTGAGTGAGGGTACCGCTGCCACGACCTCCACGAGGTGAGTGAGGGTACCGCTGCCACGACCCCCACGAGGTGAGTCAGGGTACCGCTGCCACGGCCCCCACGAGGTGAGTGAGGGTACCGCTGCCACGACCCCCAAGAGGTGAGTGAGGGTACCGCTGCCACGACCCCCACGAGGTGAGTGAGGGTACCGCTGCCACGACCCCCACGAGGTGAGTGAGGGTACCGCTGCCACGACCCCACGAGGTGAGTGAGGGTACCGCCGCCACGACCCCCACGAGATGAGTGAGGGTACCGCTGCCACGACCCCCACGAGGTGAGTGAGGGTACCGCTGCCACGACCCCCACGATGTGAGTGAGGGTACCGCCGCCACGACCCCCACGAGGTGAGTGAGGATACCGCTGCCACGACCCCCACGAGGTGAGTGAGGGTACCGCCATCGACCCCCACGAGGTGAGTGAGGGTACCGCTGCCACGACCCCCACGAGGTGAGTGAGGGTACCGCTGCCACGACCCCCACGAGGTGAGTGAGGGTACCGCTGCCACGACCCCCACGAGGTGAGTGAGGGTACCGCTGCCACGAGCCCCACGAGGTGAGTGAGGGTACCGCCGCCGCCACGACCCCCACGAGGTGAGTGAGGGTACCGCTGCCACGACCCCCACGAGGTGAGTGAGGGTACCGCCGCTGCCACGACCCCCACGAGGTGAGTGAGGGTATTGCCGCCACGACCCCCACGAGGTGAGTGAGGGTACCGCTGCCACGACCCCCACGAGGAGAGTGAGGGTACCGCTGCCACGACCCCCACGAGGTGAGTGAGGGTGCCGCTGCCATGACCCCCACGAGGTGAGTGAGGGTACCGCTGCCACGACCCCCACGAGGTGAGTGAGGGTACCGCTGCCACGACCCCCACGAGGTGAGTGAGGGTGGGTGCCGCTGCCACGACCCCCACGAGGTGAGTGAGGGTACCGCTGCCACGACCTCCACGAGGTGAGTGAGGGTACCGCTGCCAAGACCTCCACGAGGTGAGTGAGGGTACCGCTGCCACGACCCCCACGAGGTGAGTCAGGGTACCGCTGCCACGGCCCCCACGAGGTGAGTGAGGGTACCGCTGCCACGACCCCCAAGAGGTGAGTGAGGGTACCGCTGCCACGACCCCCACGAGGTGAGTGAGGGTACCGCTGCCACGACCCCCACGAGGTGAGTGAGGATACCGCTGCCACGACCCCCACGAGGTGAGTGAGGGTACCGCCACCACGACCCCCACGAGGTGAGTGAGGGTACCGCTGCCACGACTCCCACGAGGTGAGTGAGGGTACCGCTGCCACGACCCCCACGAGGTGAGTGAGGGTACCGCTGCCACGACCCCCACGAGGTGAGTGAGGGTACCGCTGCCACGAGCCCCACGAGGTGAGTGAGGGTACCGCCGCCGCCACGACCCCCACGAGGTGAGTGAGGGTACCGCTGCCACGACCCCCACGAGGTGAGTGAGGGTACCGCCGCCGCCACGACCCCCACGAGGTGAGTGAGGGTACCGCTGCCACGACCCCCACGAGGTGAGTGAGGGTACCGCTGCCACGACCCCCACGAGGTGAGTGAGGGTACCGCCGCCACGACCCCCACGAGGTGAGTGAGGGTACCGCTGCCACGACCCCCACGAGGTGAGTGAGGGTACCGCCGCCACGACCCCCACGAGGTGAGTGAGGGTACCGCTGCCACGACCCCCACGAGGTGAGTGAGGGTACCGCCGCCGCCACGACCCCCACGAGGTGAGTGAGGGTATTGCCGCCACGACCCCCACGAGGTGAGTGAGGGTACCGCTGCCACGACCCCCACGAGGTGAGTGAGGGTACCGCTGCCACGACCCCCACGAGGTGAGTGAGGGTACCGCTGCCACGACCCCCACGATGTGAGTGAGGATACCGCTGCCACGACCCCCACGAGGTGAGTGAGGGTACCGCCACCACGACCCCCACGAGGTGAGTGAGGGTACCGCTGCCACGACTCCCACGAGGTGAGTGAGGGTACCGCTGCCACGACCCCCACGAGGTGAGTGAGGGTACCGCTGCCACGACCCCCACGAGGTGAGTGAGGGTACCGCTGCCACGAGCCCCACGAGGTGAGTGAGGGTACCGCCGCCGCCACGACCCCCACGAGGTGAGTGAGGGTACCGCTGCCACGACCCCCACGAGGTGAGTGAGGGTACCGCCGCCGCCACGACCCCCACGAGGTGAGTGAGGGTACCGCTGCCACGACCCCCACGAGGTGAGTGAGGGTACCGCTGCCACGACCCCCACGAGGTGAGTGAGGGTACCGCCGCCACGACCCCCACGAGGTGAGTGAGGGTACCGCTGCCACGACCCCCACGAGGTGAGTGAGGGTACCGCCGCCACGACCCTCACGAGGTGAGTGAGGGTACCGCTGCCACGACCCCCACGAGGTGAGTGAGGGTACCGCCGCCGCCACGACCCCCACGAAGTGAGTGAGGGTATTGCCGCCACGACCCCCACGAGGTGAGTGAGGGTACCGCTGCCACGACCCCCACGAGGTGAGTGAGGGTACCGCTGCCACGACCCCCACGAGGTGAGTGAGGGTACCGCTGCCACGACCCCCACGATGTGAGTGAGGGTACCGCCGCCACGACCCCCACGAGGTGAGTGAGGGTACCGCTGCCACGACCCCCACGAGGTGAGTGAGGGTACCGCTGCCACGACCCCTACGGGGTGAGTGAGGGTACCGCCGCCGCCACGACCCCCACGAGGTGAGTGAGGGTATTGCCGCCACGACCCCCACGAGGTGAGTGAGGGTACCGCTGCCACGACCCCCACGAGGTGAGTGAGGGTACCGCTGCCACGACCCCCACGAGGTGAGTGAGGGTGCCGCTGCCATGACCCCCACGAGGTGAGTGAGGGTACCGCTGCCACGACCCCCACGAGTTGAGTGAGGGTGGGTGCCGCTGCCACGACCCCCACGAGGTGAGTGAGGGTACCGCTGCCACGACCTCCACGAGGTGAGTGAGGGTACCGCTGCCACGACCCCCACGAGGTGAGTCAGGGTACCGCTGCCACGGCCCCCACGAGGTGAGTGAGGGTACCGCTGCCACGACCCCCAAGAGGTGAGTGAGGGTACCGCTGCCACGACCCCCACGAGGTGAGTGAGGGTACCGCCGCCACGACCCCCACGAGGTGAGTGAGGTTACCGCTGCCACGACCCCCACGAGGTGAGTGAGGATACCGCTGCCACGACCCCCACGAGGTGAGTGAGGGTACCGCCACCACGACCCCCACGAGGTGAGTGAGGGTACCGCTGCCACGACCCCCACGAGGTGAGTGAGGGTACCGCTGCCACGACCCCCACGAGGTGAGTGAGGGTACCGCTGCCACGACCCCCACGAGGTGAGTGAGGGTACCGCTGCCACGAGCCCCACGAGGTGAGTGAGGGTACCGCTGCCACGACCCCCACGAGGTGAGTGAGGGTACCGCTGCCACGACCCCCACGAGGTGAGTGAGGGTACTGCCGCCGCCACGACCCCCACGAGGTAAGTGAGGGTACCGCTGCCACGACCCCCACGAGGTGAGTGAGGGTACCGCTGCCACGACCCCCACGAGGTGAGTGAGGGTACTGCTGCCACGACCCCCACGAGGTGAGTGAGGGTACCGCCGCCACGACCCACACGAGGTGAGTGAGGGTACCGCTGCCACGACCTCCACGAGGTGAGTGAGGGTACTGCTGCCACGACCCCCACGATGTGAGTGAGGGTACCGCCGCCACGACCCCCACGAGGTGAGTGAGGGTACCGCCACCACGACCCCCACGAGGTGAGTGAGGGTACCGCTGCCACGACCCCCACGAGGTGAGTGAGGGTACCGCTGCCACGACCCCCACGAGGTGAGTGAGGGTACCGCTGCCACGAGCCCCACGAGGTGAGTGAGGGTACCGCTGCCACGAGCCCCACGAGGTGAGTGAGGGTACCGCTGCCACGACCCGCACGAGGTGAGTGAGGGTACCGCTGCCACGACCCCCACGAGGTGAGTGAGGGTACCGCTGCCACGACCCCCACGAGGTGAGTGAGGGTACCGCCGCCGCCACGACCCCCACGAGGTGAGTGAGGGTACCGCTGCCACGACCCCCACGAGGTGAGTGAGGGTACCGCTGCCACGACCCCCACGAGGTGAGTGAGGGTACCGCCGCCGCCACGACCCCCACGAGGTGAGTGAGGGTACCGCTGCCACGACCCCCGCGAGGTGAGTGAGGGTACCGCTGCCACGACCCCCACGAGGTGAGTGAGGGTACCGCCGCCACGACCCCCACGAGGTGAGTGAGGGTACCGCTGCCACGACCTCCACGAGGTGAGTGAGGGTACCGCTGCCACAACCCCCACGATGTGAGTGAGGGTACCGCCGCCACGACCCCCACGAGGTGAGTGAGGGTACCGCTGCCACGACCCCCACGAGGTGAGTGAGGGTACCGCTGCCACGACCCCCACGAGGTGAGTGAGGGTACCGCTGCCACGACCCCCACGATGTGAGTGAGGGTACCGCCGCCACGACCCCCACGAGGTGAGTGAGGCTACCGCTGCCACGACCCCTACGGGGTGAGTGAGGGCACTGCTGCCACGACCCCCACGAGGTGAGGGAATTGCCCTGCAATTGCACGAGTTGAAGTTCCAGTGCCCACATAATTTTTTCGTCTCCCCTGCTTCTTCGCCTGCTCTGCTGCTTGTGTGTTGACTCTGCTGGCTTATCTCACGTTCCATCCCAGCACCCACCTTGTGACTCTCCTCAATCTCACCCTCACCACCCCCCATCCATCCCTCCTCTCCCCTGAAGCCCCTTCTCCCACCCCGTGCCTCCCCCAGCTACCATCGGACAGTGCATGGCAGGGCGTGTGTCCGGCACTCGCGGAGCTGGCAGCTAGAGGGCTGCTGCTGCCGTCGCGCCTGCACTCCGTCACGCTCCTCCTCGCCTCTGTGTGCCTCCTCCCCCTCTGCCCCCCCTCGCTCACTGCACGCACTTAACCTCACCACTCAATCACTCACCGTACACACACTCTTTCTCGTTTCATGCTCCAATACCCCACTGCATCACTGTGCCATCCACAGTCCACACCCTCTCTGCTCCTTGTGCACTCAATGCCCGTTTACCACCATACAGCACTAACGCCTCGATGTCCCTACCTTGTGCATCGCCCACCCATCACCCTTTCCCCTTCTCCCGCCATTCTGCGGCTCCCTCCTTTCTGCACCCACGCCCAACATTCTCTCCCCTCCCCCCTCCCTTCCCTCTTCTCCCCTTCACCAGGCGTTGCACTACGAGGTGTTGCGGGGGGCAGTGGGAACAGGGGCGCATGTGCGGGATGCAGCAGCGTATGTGTTCTGGGCATCGCCCACTCCTTCTCACCGGCCGTCGCTGCTGCCTCCCTGCAACAGCTTTGCCCTCCCCTCCTTGCCGTTGCGTGGTGTGACCGCCAGGTGGGCTGCTGTGACCGCCAGGTGGGCTGCTGTGACCGCCAGGGGGGCTGCTGTGACTGCCAGGTGGGCTGCTGTTACCGCCAGGTGGGCTGCTGTGACCACCAGGTGGGCTGCTGTGACCGCCATGCCCCATGCCCATACCCCATGATGCCCCATGCACATTGCCACATGCCCCGTGTCCCATGCCCCCCCATACCTCATGCCCCATGCCCCGTGCCTCAAACCCCAGGCCCATGCCCCATGCTTCACACCCCATGCAATGCGCCCAGATGATGTGCATGTGGGCAGCAGCAGCGGCCTTCCAGGAGGTGGTGGGTCGCTTTGGCTGCATCTCCGACGCCCACCACCCGAGGCACACCCCATGCCTCCACCAGAGGAGCTGGCCAAGGAGGTGATGCAGTGGAGAGCGGTGCCAAGGAGGAGGAGCAGTGGGCGCCAGCAGGGGGGATTGCCATAGTGAATGCTGCTGACGTCACGTCGCTGTCGTCCACTCGCACCTCATTCACTCACGTGCCCACCACAGCCGCACCTGTCAGACTGAGAAGCCGCAATCATTCTCATCCGCCCTTGCCGCACCTGCACATGCACATGCACCACTGTCAAGTGTGCCTCAGTAACTGCCATTTGCCTCTCCTTACATCTCTCCTCCTACCTCTCCTCCTGCTTTCCCCTTGTTACCACGTGGCACCATTCGTGGCAGGCTATCCAGAGTACCGGGAGCTGCTACTACTCAAGCTAGCATCCAGCACGCACCACTGGGACAAGGCCATTTGCGCCCTCGCTGCCCACTCTCTCGCCGCCATCGCCCCCCTGGACCCACCCCACCTGCTCTCCCTCCTGCACCTGCACCTCCTCCCCCTGCTCGCCTCCCCCAAGTCCCGACCCCCCCTTTCGCCACGGAGCCCTTCTCGCCACTGCTGCCCTCCTGCCACCCCTCTCCGCATCCTCTCCCTCCTGTGCCCTCACAGGCACCCTCTCCTCCCTCACCTCCTCTCTCCCGAGTCTCCTCGCCCCGCGCTCCTTCCGAGGGCGCCTAGCAGCAGATCTCAAGGTGGCCTGCTGCCGCCTGCTCTCCGCGCTCGCTGCTGCACTGCCCCGCGCACACCTGCCGCCCCTGCCCGTGCCTGCTCTCACTGCTGCCACTGCGTGCCTGCATGACATGCTGGCTGGTGATGGGGGCGAGCTCCAGGTGAGGGTGGGGCGGGACGGGAGGGGGGAGTGACGGGTTGAGAGACTGGAAGCGCACGCACTGGAAGCATGGTGGGCACACCATGTCAATGCAAACACCCTACCGTGCTTGCAACATCCCCAAATGTTCATTGCTCACGTTTCACCACTCTCCTCTTCCCCTCTCCTACCCCCGCCACCAACCTTTCCCGCACTCCTCCCCCCCTTGCCCCAGTGTGCACGGGCGCGCTTTGTCTCATTGGTGCAGGAGGCAGCAGCAGCAGCCCTGTGGGACCTCGCTCGCTCCCAGCTCTTCCCTGCCTGCACGCACCTCGTGCACCAGATAGTCACCTGCCATGCAGCGACTCTGGAGTCTACCAGCTCAGCAGCGAGTGCGAGGCGAGGCGCTGTGTTGGCACTGCAGTGCTTCCTGCCCAGCCTCTGACCTGCCTGGCCCTCCGCCTCTCCCCTTGACTCCCCTGATGCTGGCACTGATGAAGCGGGGCTAGGCGTGGGGGGCGCAAATACAGGGCAAGAGGACGGGGAGAGACATGGGGGGACGGAGGGGAGAGGGGGTGAGGGAGGGGTGGATAAGGGTGAGATGTCAAGGTACGAGCTGGCAGAGCGGGTGGTGAAGGCGCTGTGTGCTGCTGCCACCAACAATGTGAGTGCTCTCTGCCTCTGCCTCTGCCTCTGCCCCTCCACCCATCCCATTCCCTCCATCCTGCCTTTCTTATCCTCCGACTTCCCTAACATTGATGCCTCATACTTTAATTTCATGTGTCCAGACACCCTTGCGATCAGATTTTCAATTCCTTCACATTTCCACCCATTTTTCACCCACTCTGCAACGACCCCCCACCCCTTATCCCCTCCTGTCATCCCTGCAGCGGGGGCGTCGTGCCGTGTCTGACGTGGCAGTGCGGGCAGCAGCCGTGGAGGCACTGGGTAATGCAGCCAGCATCATTCCCCTCCTGCAGGCCGGCGGGGCAGGCGCAAGGGGGCACGCAGGGACAGGTGGGGGAGCCGGGACACAGGTGGGGGAGGGGGAGAAGGAGGAGGGGGAGAAGGAGGAGGTTGAGCTGAGAAGGCAGCGTGGTTTGGTAGGGCTTGGGTGGTGGGAGGAGGGGGGGGAGAGTGTGGTGGGTGCGTTGCTGCGAGCAGCACAGGACTACACGGAGGACCAGCGGGGCGATGCGGGCCGCCTTGTGAGGGAAGCTTCTATGAAAGCGCTGGTGGGATGGGTGGGAGAAATGTACAGGTTGAGAGAGGTGGGAGAAGGTGATGTGGGGGATGGAGGGGGTGCAGCAGAGGCGAGTCTCCCACATGGCGTGCCAAGCCCTGCCCTGCCAACAACACACGACGCCTCTTCCCAGCAGCAGCGATACATTGGGATGCGGGAGTGGTGCAGAGCGGTGGCAGGGCGGGTGGTGGGTGTGCTGATGAAGCAGGCGGGGGAGAAGATTGACGGCACACGTGAGGTGGCAGGGCAGGGGCTGCAGCGGCTGCTGTGGGGAGGGAAGCACGGTGCAGTGTTCGTGGGGATGCGAGAGACAAGAGAGGAAGCATGGACAGGAGAGGCAGTTGAGACATGTGGAGCTGGTGGCAGCACGCTGGGGACATCAGGTGGAGGCGAGGAGGGGAGGGATGGAGGAGGTTCTGTGAGGCAATGCGTGGGCGGCAGGGCGGAAGGGAGCGGTGTGTGCAGGGATGTGGATGGGTGGGAGCAGCTGAGGCAACATGTGCCCTCTGACTCTCACTTTGCATGGAAGGTACACCGTATGCTCTGATCTGCTTTGCTGTGCTGTGCTCACAGCTATTCCGCTCTCTCTGCTCCTTTGTTGCTCCAGTTCTTCTCATTCCGACCCACCTCTGGTCCTCCCGCATTCACCTCCATCATTTCCCCTCCCTTCCCCCTCTTCCCTCCACACCCAGAATCTCGCGGCTGTCTTTCCACGCCGCCCCACTGCTGCTGCTCCCCGCCTACCGCCTGCCACTGCTATCGGGGCTGCTGCTCTCCGCGGGCGCTCTCTCTCACTCCCTCACCGCCGCCTCCCTGCGCGCCCTGCTCTCCCTCAAACAAGAACTGGGGGCACAGGGGGGCACGAGGGAGGCAGGAGAGGGGGGTAGGGGCAGGCAGTGGGAGGAGGTGCAGGGGCAGATAGCAGAGGATGTGGTGGTGCTGCTGAGGCGGCACCGCAAGCAGACCCGGGTCATAATTCTGTACATCAAGGTAGAATGCTGCATTTGAGTGCACGCCAACTAATTTTCCCTTCACAGCAGCATGGTTCTCGCTTTCATGTGTGATGGCCTGGCCAGAATGCAACTGTGCACAGGCCGCCGCTAGTGGCTGTGCCCTGCCGTGTGCGGGAGGGTGCACTGAAGACAAGTGCTGTGACGCATTGCTGCCCTGCATGCCTGTGTGTGGTTCTTTGTTGAGGCTTGCTACTGCTCTTACACTCTCATCTCACTGTGTGTGTGCTCCTACTGGTTGCCCTCTTCTCTCAATGCAGGCGATCGCTGCCCTGCTTCAGGCCGAGTTCTTCGGGTCACTATCAGCTGACAGCCCAGCTTCAGACGAGGTCCGTGAAGCCCTGCACTGCACCTGCCCTCTCCAACGCCCACTAACCCTGTTGGCATCCCTCACCTTCCCCCATTCACACCATCCTCACACTCTGGGCCATTGGGCCATCCCTCTGTGCATGCCAACCGCCTCCATCCTGACATTCTGCATAGCATTGCCCTGCCCTCGCAGCCTATTCCCGCCACCACCCCCCTGGCGGCTCTACCCGGGGCGCTGGTGGAGGGATAGGAGGAGGAGCTGTGCCGCCCACAGCCCACGGCATCGGTGCCCAAGGTGCTGGGAGCCGTCGACCTGCTCTGCCACCTCGCCGCCCCCCTCTGCTCCGCTCGCTGCCACGCCCTCTCCACGCTCCTCTGGCTGATCGCCGTGCGCTTCCCCACTGTGAGTTCACCTCATAGTCCCCTTTGCATGTGTACCGGCCAGTCCCCAGCCAGTCCCCACTAGTTCACCTCATAGTCCCCTTTGCGTGTGTACCGGCCAGTCCCCGGCCAGTCCCCACTAGTTCACCTCATAGTCCCCTTTGCGTGTGTACCGGCCAGTCCCCGGCCAGTCCCCACTAGTTCACCTCATAGTCCCCTTTGCGTGTGTACCGGCCAGTCCCCGGCCAGTCCCCACTAGTTCACCTCATAGTCCCCTTTGCCTGCTCTGGCAGCATTGCACCCACTACTCGTATCGGCAGAGTACTGCCATTGCGCTCCACTGCGTAGCTCCTCCTTGCGTGTCCAGTGTCACAGCAAGCCCGGTCCATGGGTTGTGTTACATGTTCAGAAGATCAAGACCCTTTCATATTTCATGCTCCGATGCATCTGCAACAGGTTCGGAGGCATGTGCAGAGCAACTGTATCTGGTGCTTCTAATGGGGACAGAAGGCGGAGATGGAACGGAGGATGTTGATAGAGAAGCAGCGTTGGAACAAGCTTCAGATTTTCTTAGCGCTGATTGGGGTGCAATGGATGATGCTTTAGTGTCTAATCACATGCGCAACTTGCGGGCTTTGCTAGAACCTGTTTTCTCGTAAGACCATATGTTTGGCGCCCACATGTGCATATGCAAATTCTCACTCAATTGGTCGGAAGTAGTGTACTATATCATCCGCATGTAATGCACATAGAAATTGATGCAGAGGAATGCAAGCTACCAGTCAGGCCCTCAGATTGGTTTGAGGGTATGCTGATGGATCAGCGTGCCCCAGCCAACCAGGTATCCAAATCAGCGTTCATGGTTTTGTTTATACTGATTTTGTCAGTGTAAAAATTCTTAGTACTGAACCATCAGTGTAAAAAAAACAAGGTGATGGTGGGCAGTCATGAACAAGGTTAGAACGGAGTGTTGTGCAGCAGCGTCACCAGAGCTGTTGTGTTGTGATAGGTATTTTCCAGCGAGGCAAAACAGTTTGGCGCGCACCAACTGTCTGTACAGCGCATGGGAAAAAAATCACGGGAAGGTACAGACTGTACACGCGTACCCTGTCCTCACCACCCCCCCCCCCCCCCCCCCCCCCCCCCACTCCCCTCCTCCCCACGAGGTCAAGTTCGTTTCAGTGTGACTCACATCACTGTACTGATTCGTCAGTGTTACTTATACAGCAACACGCAAAATGGTCAGTGTGACAAGATAGGTTATACTGAAAATTCAGTGCAAAATTGAAGCATATGCTGAATTCTCAGGGAAAACGAAAATCACAGCTACAAAATCAGCCTATTCTGCGTGTTTTACGCTGATATCTGAGGGCCTGCTACTAGTATATGACAGCACATTCTGAGTTCTGCGAATGATTTGGTGAGAGCGCGACTGTCAATGCTGCGTGCGACAAATTCTGGGTCTCCAATCCCACCAATAACCATTCATTTCTTGTTTTCCATCCCATCATAGATTTCGCGCCATTTAGTCACATCGCCACAGACAAACCATCATACTTCGCGTAATAGACAAGGTAGAGCGCACCAAGCCGAAGCCGTTTAAGGCGGAGTACGCCAAGTCGGCGCGCGGGAGCTGCCGGAAGTGCAACGAGACCAACGCGAAAGGCGCCTTACGCAACGCGATTTGGTGAGCGTCGAGCGCCCCAGTGAGGCCCACGGCCAAATAACATTCTCGTGTCCAACATTCTCGTGTCCAACTTTCTCGAGTCCAACATTCTCGTGTCCAACATTCTCGTGTTTGCTTGGACCAAGTGCTTGCTTGGACCAAATGCTTGCTTCGACCAAGTGATTGTTTGGACCAAATGCTTGCTTGGACCAAGTGAGACTTGCTTGGACCAAGTGCTTGCTTGGACCAAGTGCTTGCTTGGACAAAGTGCTTGCTTGGACCAAGTGCTTGCTTGGACCAAGTGCCTGCTTGGACCATGTGCTTGCTTGGACCAAGTGCTTGCTTGGACCAAGTGCTTGTTTGGACCAAGTGCTTTCTTGGATCAAGTGCTTTCTTAGACTAAGTGCTTGCGTGGACCAAGTGCTTGCTTGGACCAAGTGTTTCTTTCGACCAAGTGCTTGCTTGGACCAAATACTTGCTTGGACGAAGTGCTTGCTTGGACCAAATGCTAGCTTGGACCAAGTGAGGCTTGCTTTGACCAAGTGCTTGCTTGGACCAAGTGCCTGCTTGGACCAAGTGCCTGCTTGAGCATTCTCGAGTCCAACATTCTCGGGTGTCCAACATTCTCGAGTCCAACATTCACGAGTCCAACATTCTCGGGTGTCCAACATTATCGTGTCCAACATTCTCTAGTCCAACATTCTCGTGTCCAACATTCCCGAGTCCAACATTCCCGTGTCCAACATTCTCGAGTCCAACATTATCCAGTCCAACATCCTCGAGTCCAACATTCACGTGTCCAACATTCTCGTGTCCAACATTCTCGTGTGTCCAACATTCTCGTGTGTCCAACATTTTCTAGTCCAACATTCTCGTGTCCAACACTTTCGTGTCCAACATTCTCGAGTCCAACATTCTCGAGTCCAGCATTCTCGTCTGTCCAACATTCTTGACTCCGACGTTTACGAGTCCAACATTCTCGAGTCCAACATTCTCGAGTCCAACATTCTCGGGTCCAACATTCTCGCGTCCAACATTCCTGAGTCCAACATTCTTGAGTCCAACATTCCCGAGTCCAACAGTCTCGAATCCAACATTCTCGAGTCCAACATTCTCGAGTCAAACATTCTCGAGTCCAACATTATCGAGTCCAACATTCTCGTGTCCAATATTCTTGTGTCCAACATTCTCGTGTGTCCAACATTCTCGTCTGTCCAACATTCTTGTATCCAACGTTCTCGAGTCCAACATTCTCGAGTCTAACATTCTTGAGTCCAACATTCTCGAGTCAAACATTCTCGAGTCCAACATTATCGAGTCCAACATTATCGAGTCCAACATTCTCGTGTCCAATATTCTCGTGTCCAACATTCTCGTGTGTCCAACATTCTCGAGTCCAACATTCTCGTGTCCAACATTTTCGCGTCCAACATTCTCGAGTCCAACATTCTCTCGTCCAACATTCTCGCGTCCAACATTCTCGAGTCCAACATTATCGAGTCCAACATTCTCGTGTCCAACATTCTCGTGTGTCCAACTTTCTCGAGTCCAACATTCTCGAGTCCAACATTCTCGAGTCCAACATTCTCGAGTGTCCAACATTCTCATGTCCAACATTTTCGAGTCCAACATTCTCGAGTCCAACATTATCGAGTCTAACATTTTCGCGTCCAACATTCTCGTGTCTAACAATCTCGAATCCAACATTCGTGCGTCCAACATTATCGAGTGTCCAACATTCTCGAGTCCAACATTCTCGCGTCCAACATTCTCGAGTCCAACATTCTCGTGTCCAACATTCTCGAGTCCAACAGTCTCGTGTCCAACATTTTTGCGTCAAACATTCTCTTGTCCAACATTCTCGTGTCCAACATTCATGTGTCCAACATTTCGTGTCCAACATTCTCGTGTATCCAACATTCTCGAGTCCAACATTCCCGTGTCCAACATTTTCGTGTCCAAACGTTGGACGCGGGAAAACGTTGGACGCGGGAAAACGTTGGACAGGGGAAAACGTTGGACGGGTCAAAATGTTGGACGGGGCAAAATGTTGGACGGGGGAAAACGTTGGACGCGGGGAACCGTTGGACGCATGATAACGTTGGACGCGGGGAAAAGTTGGACGCGGGAAAACGTTGGACGCGGGAAAACGTTGGACGGGGAAAATGTTGGACGGGACAAAATGTTGGACGGGGCAAAATGTTGGACGGGGCAAAATGTTGGACGCGGGAAAATGTTAGACGCGGGAAAATGTTGGACGCGGGTGATAGAATTGGAATTGAACTGATTGATTAGGAAAGAAGGCACTAGGCCTTAAATACAAACGAGGTTGGGATGGGCAAGGCTAGGGAAAGGATGGGATTGGAATCCTAGCAAATCTCCAATTGGTGAGTTGGCAGATTTGCAGGATTACGAGGGAATCCCAACCAGATATGGTTGGGATTACAAACTACACCCAACCCGCAAATAACCTACGTGATATAGAATATAGTACACAAAGTGTTGATAGCCTAATTCTAACACACCCCCTAGGCTGCAACACATCAGCCACAAGGAGGCCCAACACCTATGGCCGAGAGGAGGTGGTAATGATCCTCGCGAACAAGCGACTTCGTAAACAAGTCAGCAAGGTTGCAGTCGGAGGCACTGTGTTCAGCCTTCAGCTGCTCGCGCTGCACCAGCTCACGAAGAAAGTAGTGACGGACTTCAACGTGCTTGGTGCGGCCATGGAAAATGGGGTCTTTGGTGAGATGAATGGTGCTCTCGTTGTCACACCAAAGCGTTGGGGCTGGTTGGGGATACCCCAGTTGTGTCAGCAGGAAGGAGAGCCAATGAGTCTCCCGTGCAGCCATGGTCCCGGCATACAGCTCTGCCTCACAGGTCGACAGTGAGACGGAGGAGGACCGAGTGGAGCGCCAACTTACAACCCCACTGCCAAGGGTGAAGCAATACCCTTGGGACGAGCGCCGATCACTCTGGTCATCAGCATAGGATGAGTCACTATACCCCCCAAGGCAAACCGGGGAAGTGCCGCCAAGTGTGAGCACAGAATCCAGTGTGCCTTTGAGATAGCGAAGAACCCGCTTGGCGGCAGACCAGTGGTGGCGAGTGAAGCGACCAGGTGCAACGTAGCGGGACAGTACACTGACTGGATAGGCTAAGTCTGGTCGAGTGCACATCATCACGTACATGAGGGATCCCACGAGCTCGGGGTAAGGCTCGTCACAGGACTCAGGTGAGGGAACGGAGGGTGCAGTGAGTTGGTGTTGCATAGAGAGTGGGGTGGGCATTGATGCTGCTTCTTGCATCTAGAACCTCGTTAGAACGTTGTTGATGTAAAACTTTTGCGAAAGGGTGATGGTGCGGGCTGTGC